ATGTGCTATACAGATAAAAAATGATACAAAGACTTGTATACGATGAGTCTGCAGGAATACGGCGCTAAATCGGTCCCGGACTGTTTAAAGTTCTCGGTTGAATCCTTTCTCCGCGATTAATCTGCGGAGTCTCCGTTCGGGGCCTGGGGCGCGCCGAAGGCCGCGGCCCTGGACATGTCGTTCTCCGCGCAAAAGACCCCGCCACCCCAGTACCTGTGGGCACGCGACAGGCGACGGCAGCACAGCTGTGTTCCGGCAGTGCTGGGAATCAGCTGGTGCAGGCAACTGCATCTTCTGCAGGCGAGGGGCTTGAGGCCAGCGACCGAGAGGCCAGCACCGATGAGGCAGACGCAGGTACCGCTGACCACAGGTGGGAAGATCTTCTTGAGGTAGCGGGGCGGCACGAAGGAGATAAAGAGCTCTGTCACGGAGGCCGCCAAGCAGGTTCCCAGGAACTTGCCGTAGGCATCCATTCCGCTTCGGCCAGCCTGGATCTCGGAAACCACGACCTCTCGTGCGATGGGCAGGAAGGTGAAGGACGTGCCGATCACGGAGATCAGGCCCGTTCCCAAAGTGTAGCCTCCGATCAGCTTCCAGCGAAGGATCTGCACTAGGGACAGCAGGCCCGAGCAGATCAAGGCTGCGGAGATCATGTACCTAAGAGCACCAGGACACTTCGCACTCCAAACCCCGACTTTCGAACCTTCTGCTTTCCAAGCTGCTGCTTGGAGTCGCAGAGCTCCTGGCGACAGAATTTGGGGCGAAGGGGCGACGTTGCGCGCGATCTGTTGCTGTCACAGTTTCGAAAGAAGGTGCGAGGAAGCTTTGGGGCACTTCGGCAGGGAGTCTGCACACAAGCTCCTGATCCAGCTGCCATGCAAAGCAGGCGTCGCCGGAGATCAACGACGGTGGGGTGATGATACCTTCCAAAGAACGGATGTGTAAGAGATGCTGTGCATGTGCTTCCGTCGTGCTAGACACGCGCACAGTAGCAGCATCAAGCGCCGCAACCAGCGCTGTCGCTCAAAATCACTGCGTGAACGGTGAATTGCGCCATCATTAACGTAATGTTGAACGCTTTCCAGTGGCCTCCCAGCATAGCCAGGGCGTGCTGCAATCCCATGATCAGCGACCTCGGAGAACATCCGCACAACCGCGCATCCACATCTGCTTCACCAGCAGCAGCATCATCATCAGCAGCAGCAGCATGACCAGCATCATCACCGTCATCATCAGCCTCTGTTTCCTTGAGCATCAGCATCGGCTTCATCATTATCAGGGAACCCTGTCCACTCCACAAGGACTGTGACAAGTGCTCCTGCACGTAGCAGCTGGGAAAGGCTCTCGAAATCATCGTACCCTTCATTTAGAATCCACATGAATCCAACATCACATCGCGTCCGAGCGGCAGCATCAGGGGCAGCTTCGAGTCCGGCTTCAGAAGCGGCGGCGACTTCGCTGGCCCGAAGCAAGGCAGCGACGGGATGCAGAGGTACTTCCAGTCCTCCGTCGGCTAGGTATCCGGAGATTCTGTCGCAAGGCAGATTTCTAATGTAAAGCACTCAAACGCTTTTTCGTCGGGGGACGTAGGTGTTCAAGCCGATGAGGCCGTCGGGGGTGCAGCTGACACCGGAGCAGGAGTCGCAGCCACCGAACCTGAAGGCCGCGGAACACGTGCACCCAACCAAAAACAAGTGCGTGTGGTTCAGACTGCACTGCCGACGAGCCGCGACTCCTTCGGGCCTTCCTCAACCTCCTTCATATCCTTGTCGGCGGACATGGCTTCGGCGCGGGAGGGTGTGGCGAAACAAACCAAACCAACCAAAGCTGGACAATGCCTGCGGCATGCGCCATGCACAGTTTCTTCAGCTTCTTGCCGACCTTTCTCTGAGGTCGTGCTGTGAGGGTGGTGTTGGGGGGATGTGTTGTTGGTGGCGGTGGTCATAATGACGACTTCGATGATGGGTGGTCATGATCATGGCGATGATGATGATGGCGAGGCTGAGAACGAGGATGCAAATGAAGACGACAACAAGTACCATCGCTACTCCAAGTGCGCCTCCAACTGCTACCAGTACTGCAGTCCTCCACGGCGAATGCATTGTCATTGTCAGTTGTAGATATTATGATCGCTAACTGACTTCACTGTCAATACAGGCTGCGTCGTCGACAAGAGCGAACCATGCGTCACAGAGCATGCCATCGAAGGCCTCAGGCTCTTGACCAGAGTAGCGCAGCAGCGAGAAACGCACGCGGTCCTGGCTCCGATAGAGATCTTATGCGGAAGAGAACACAGGATCAAAGCTGCGACCCCATGGCTGCTGCAAACTGCACATAGAGGGCGCCTCACTTGATCCCTCGACCGAACCGGCAGCTTGCAGAAGCCTCGGAAATTAACAGAGCGAGCGAGAGAGGGGCAGACAGAACAACATGATATACAGAAGTGTATATACATGTCTGTCGCTGTGTCTCGCACACACTCTTCCTCTGTCCCTCTCTCTCTCTCTCTCTCTCTCTGTCGCGCTCTCTCTGTCTCACGGTATCTATGTGCTTACATATATATATATATAAATCTATGAATGTATGCTTTCTTCCCTCATATACAGTCATGCACGTTTTATATATATATATATATATGTTTGTGTGTGTGTGTGTGTCGCGAATACTATTACCTTTGTCATTATCATTAGCTACCATGAATAAAAAATGCTACCCGCGAAAGGCTTGATATGGATGTATATAGGCATTGCATGACATGTGACACTATAAGAACATGCGTCGTACCACATGAAATGACGTGACACAAAGTGGCAACTGTCTGCACACCGTCGTCCCGGTCGCGCTAATGTATAGCGACATCAGATAGATCAAAGGCCAGAGCGAATGAAGCCGGTACAATGTGTCCGTGTGGTGCACGGGCCACTCTGTGCCCCGAACAAATCCAAGGACTTGGACACCTTTGCTTCGTCCGCTTCCTGCGATGGGCGTCGCCGCAATTGGTTCACAAACGTGCCGAGACTCTACATCATCTAAGCACAAGGCTCTTCGTACACTTGTAAGACAGCAAAATTTCAGAAGGAGCCCATTCTCCTTCAGTGCCAGCAGGTTGCTGTGCAGCTCCTCCAATGCAACAGGCGCAGGCCATTGGCCATTCGCCTTGCGTTGTACGCTCGAGTCACAACAGACAGGCCGGGATATGATCCATCATGGAAGTTGTGTGGGTGTGTATACTGTGCAACTAGGAGCTGTTGTTGGTCACCGCATGATTCCGGACCGTTTATCGCGCAATATGGTTCCGCACTTTGGTGCCAGAATACCTGGCTATTCATCCGGTACTTCAACGAGCGCTCCTAGTCACCTAGCAATCCGATGTGGACCGTCGCAGTATTGGTTTCTGTCATGTTGGTGTCCAGAACCAGAACCAGGACATTCCGTCAGCAATGCTTTTCAACTCGCCGTCGGGATTTTCGCGCGAAGGCCCGAACTGTTATCCAGATCAGATCGCTCCCATCCAACAGGTCCAGAAGTTTGTCGATAAGTTTAACGGGCAAGCTAATACCCGAACTCTGTATGTTGGACCGCACCACAACCCACATTGAGACAACAACCGGCACGACTCAACAACACTGCTGCAGAAAGTCACTAGCAGACCCAATAGCAGCGGAAGCATACACAATACAATACAAGATAACCTACGCTTATATATGAACTGGAAACTAGTAAAGTACAGTATGGTCTAGTACAGCATAGTATAGTATAGTATACGATGGAATACTCTATACTGGTATAAGAAAAGGATAAACGAGGCTTTTCACCCGGCCTTCAACTTCAGCGAGAAAGCCTTTGTGCTCGCAGCTCGGCTTCTGAAGAAGGCCATATCCTTCAGACAAATCAACTGCCCGTAGGGTAGGCTGTGCTGTGGTTTTGTGTGTCGTGCACGCAACGGTGATCAGCACCCGAAAAAACCCGAAAACAGCGATAGAACAAATGCAATAAACGTATTAGATAGATAGATGTTCATTTCCGACTTACGAGCTCTTGGTCATCTGGTACCGACGTCCTCGGACCATCTGCTCAATGAACGCTGGGCGTGGTCATTCCTTGCCAGCCCCGCAGGGGCTTTGGGTGGAAGGGCAGTGGGGTAGAGCAATTTCGGTTGGCAGAGGATGGCTACGCACGCAGAGGCGAAAACTCACGGATCGAGTAAACTCGTCTCTGCAGCAATGCCACGAATCTAAAAAAACTGAAGCGATATCAGAGAGATCCCTTTGCTCGAAGTCAGTCTCTTTAGAAACAGGCAAAGCTTGACTGAATCTCCTGGAAGAAGAAATGATGGGCGAAGGATGTTTGACCTGCGACTGACAATGCAGCCCAGCATCCCGACGCAAGATGGGTGGGCCGTGATGTCGAAAGGCAGCTCTCCTGCGTTGCGAGTGGAGCACCTAAGGACCTAGTGTGTTGGGTTTAGGGTTTAGGGTTGGGGATCTCCAGGGGTTCCTTTGAAGGGATCCATAAGGCTTCCCGAACAGGGATCTTTAAGGGCTCCTAATTGGGTTTACCACGAACCTCCTCTGCCTCCCGGATGGGCGTCTTCGGACCCTCGTCTTGCAAAAACCGATGCCGTGAGCTTCAGCGGAACCCCGCGCCTGAAACCCACGTCCTTCAGCCTCTGGTTGCAGAGCATGCGACCCCACAACCTAAGCTTCATGATTACCTATCTGACCACGATGCAAACCCAAGAAGCCTCAAGTCCCGGAGCGCATCTCCACCCACAACCTCTAAATATGAAGCCCAAAACTTGAACAGAGATGAAGCGAGCGCCTTGTGGCAAAGACTCGCCGGACAAGGGTGCTTTCTTCTCGAGGATCCGGGAAGTCATCTGATTTGCTGGTTGCTCTTTTCGGCTTGTAGCAGTTCTGGACAGGCTAGCGGAGTTCAGCGTTTGGGGACTTCTGGCTCGGGGGGTTTAGGTCTAAGGGGTGAAGGCTGTAGGAGCGAGCTTGGAGCTCAGGGCTTTAGGCTTCAGAGTGCTCCTCGGAGCTGGGCGGCGGCTGTGGGCTGCCAGTTTCGGAGGTCTTGAATGCAAGATACTCGGCCCTCGGGTTTCGAGCCGCTCCGGGCAGCAGGCCCGGTCAAGTGCCCTGTGCCCCTGTCTCTCTGCCAGACAATCCAGGGATCCAGAATCTAAAGTTGCAGCTATGCTGGCTCATTGCAGCAAGCATACGAACGATCTGAGCACAAACCGGCCACAGGCATCGGTCTTACACTACAGGCTCCTTCCTGAAAGCTGCAATCTGACGTTCTGGGATACAAAACCGACGCCCGAAACGGTTGCAAGGGCATCGCCTCGGCCGGGAGAAGCTGACCCAGCAGTTCCGAGAGGTCCTCCGGTGAAGGGCCATGGCATACGAACGGTTTAGGGTTTGGGGTTTAGTTTAACTCCACTGTGGAGCTTGAAGAAAGGAGCCCATGTAGGTTCAGGGTACTCCGTAGAGGTGGGAGTTTGGAAAGTGTAGCGAGCTCCGCGGCCAAGCGTAGCTTACGAACGATTTTCTCGGCTTCTCCGCCGACGCAAAAGAGGTCGCGTGGAAAGTTTTCTGCTTTCGTACATGTAATTGCTACTCTGCTTGCAATGCCCGGCGCAAAACAGCAGAATGAATGAGTGTATGTGCATATATATATATATATAGAGAGAGAGAGAGATGGATATATATATATATATATGATAGATACACACACATATAATATGCGATTCGTGCCTGGAGTCGGCTCGGTGGTTCCTGCAGACGGTAAGCCCGCGAAAGCCTGAGGCGGATCCGAGTCCCAGTCCTTGCTGTTCAATCGGATCTGTGCTGCCACTGTGGACCAAACTCCGACCTGTCTTTGGAGCAGCGAAAGAGCAAAAACACTATTTGCATGCATATATATATATACACACATACATTATATACATATATATATATATACAGAGAGAGAGAGAGAGCACATACGGCACATAAACATAACATATCATATGAGATCAAATCATGTCATATGGATATGTATGTATACACACATATGTATAGTATATATGCATATGCGTACGTATGTATGTAAGATATGTTTGTATTTGTGTATATGCGTATTGCCATGCACATCCGCATACATACATGTCTGTATGTAACACAATGCAATGCAATGCAATGCAATGCAAGGCAAGGCAAGGCAAGGCAAGGCAAGGCAAGGCAAGGCAAGGCAAGGCAAGGCAAGGCAAGGCAAGGCAAGGCAAGGCAAGGCAAGGCAAGGCAAGGCAGGGTAGGGTAGGGTAGGGTAGGGAAGGGAAGGTAGTATGTGAGGATGTACGTAGGTAGGTAGGTAGGCAGGCAGGCAGGTAGGTAGGTGGGCAGGTAGGTATGGGTGAGCATTAGGGATGCAAGCCTGCAAGGTGTGGTAGTTGGAAGGATCTGCAGTGCTACGGATCCGCAGGATCCTAAAAGGGTGTCTCAGCATGTGTCAGCCGTCCTTTCTGTCGTGCTTGAGGTTTGCCCAGTTCGTCTGAACTTGTCGAAGCCGGAATCTTTAAGCAAGGCACAAGATCACCGGGCATCTGCTTTGGCTGCCCTGGACGCCTGCGACACGAAATCTGCACGACAACTCAAGGCTGTTTGGGGTTTCGGCTTGTGGGAGGAACAACGAACTCACCACAAGTATAAGGTAGGAATGTAATTCGGGAGCGCAGTCAACAATTAAATTTCTGCGGGTGGGGTGATGGGGACCGAGAGTATCAAATACTGGTAGCCAAGGACTATTGCGTGTGAGCCCGCTGCATGCTAACTTCGGTTGGGGAAAGGACAGGATTACAATCAATTCCGGAAAGCTGAAGGCTGAAACATTACCGACCTAACTTCGCGCATGAGGCAGTCTCGTGGGAACAAGCAGGCGTGCTCCAACTTTGCGACGAATTTCCAATCCCAATCTGAACCTGGAGTTCAGGTCTCAGGCCCTTCATGGCCTGAGGCCCGGGGGAACATGCATTGGGCACATCCGTCTGGAGACGCAAACAAGGGGGGCGAGGTGTGGTAAAGCCGGATCTGAGAGAGGGTCGGGCGAACTCGTAGAGCTCACGAGCAAACAAGAGCATCAGCATCAGCAAACCATTTTGGACGAGGTGTACGGGCTTAGAAGCCGCACCTACCTACTAGTGTACCGGGTGCCGCTTGCCCGGGGCGGTGACCCTCTGCGAGCGGGCCGGCCCATTTACAAAATCCTAAACCAATTTCCTACAACCGCGGCTTTAGGTTCAGGGCACAAGATCCTAATATATCCACTTACAGTAGAGCTTCCTCCCTCCTGACCAGGAAACCCCAGGCCCAGTTGTGAGCCGCGCTATCGTGCCGCTACCCCCTTCCGCGGACCCCCGCTTGCGCGAAAAACATATGTACTTATGTGGGGGGTCATGGAAATCTGAACTAACTACTGGGAAATTTTCCCGATGCCAGACGCGTTTGCAAACATCGCGGTGTAAATAAGTGCCCCGCGGAAAGGGCCCCGCTTGTGGCATCAAGAGCGTTCACAGTCCCTTCAACACTCACGAACAAAGCTCAAAGCCAACCAAGGGGGGCTGGCAGGGCGGCCGTGGAGGAGACGATGTGTCCAAGTTGCGGCAGACGGGCGTGTGCACGTGTAGCTTTCGGAGCAAAGAAAAACAGGCTTGAACCGAGGAAGCGAATTGGAACATGCCTGGATTGCCGAAGTTACGAGGGCTGAAATGTGGAACATGCACATCTCGGCCCTCATGTGCGGGCACACAAGCGTCCGGAACAAGACCTACAGTTGGAACATCGGCAGTCCGTAGCAGGAGTGTTCCAACTCTCCGACCTTCGACATGGTTGCAATGGTCGCTGGAGATTCATGCGTGTATGCGGGGATGGCTCTATAGTCATCACGATGGCCTCACCCCTCAAATCGAAAGGCTGCTAAATGCTATATAGCTCACGGCAGGACTTTCACCCCGGTGACTCGTGGGATATGCGCCTCGAACACGTGAAGTCGCTGGGCTGGGCTACACGACCCAATCGGCCAAACATTCCATGGCCTTGGCGCTGAGAAATGTAGCGGCCTTAATAATTAGAATAGGGTTTTGGGGTAGATTATACTATAATTATGAAAAGGAACCCCCAAAATAATATAGGTAACTACTTAGGCCCCTATATGACTTACCAGGAACCGTGCTGCGTTCACCATCATCACCACCAAGAAGAAGACGACCGCATTTTTACGACTCGATCCCGAACCTAAACCCTAAACCCTAAACCGTTTAGGGTTTAGGGTTTAGGGTTTCTGTTTATTCATGTGTCTCTAGGCGCGCACTTTGATGCTACAGCAATTGCAGGCGAAGCTCTCGGACAAGAACATTAGGGTTTTGTAGGGTTTAGGGTTTAGGGTTCAGGGTTTAGGGTTTCTGCAAGCAGTGAGAATAATTCGGCTGCTTGTGATCGGCTCATAACTCGAAAGGCAATCAAGCAAACGATTACTCGTACTATTCCTTCCGGTTTCCTACTACACCCCAAAGCCCTGTTCTAATTTTTCGGCCCCTGGATTATCAAGTGCAACACGTTCCTCTGCTGCTTATATCGGCCTGGTCTGTCTTGCATTCAGAAACTGACTTCCTAGCTATGGGTGTCGTCCTGCGGCGTCCCCGATCTAAGCCATGCCACAAGACTACGGCGGAGATGCTGGGAGTGCTATGGCATCATCATCACCATCATCACCACTACCAAAATCCTGCGACCATGTCGGCCAGAACGGCAAACCCTTATTTCTGTTGATATGACGAGAAAAGAGCTGAGACCCATTCTCGCGTGGCCGTCCATGGCAGGCAGTTCGTCGAGCTTGATGAGTCCAAGATTTGCCTTCTCCTCCCAGGGTTCTCCGACTTGCATCTTCTTTCGGTTTTTGGACTGATGTCGTCTGGCGGGGGATTGGATGCCTTTCCTCGCCTCTGCTGAACCTGGCATGTGGAGCTACCAAAGAGTAGCTTGCGCACTGAGGACTGGCAAAGCGATATCAGATCTTCCAGTCCTAAACGACAAAATCCCAAAGCCCACACCGCCAACCCACATGTAATATTCAGCCTTGTATATTTAAGGCTTCAAGTACGTGAATCATAAAGCCTGCTTCGGGCTCTGAAGCTTGCGCATATCAACAACTCCTTGTACAGTAGCGCCGGGCCACGCCGAGCCCTAGACCCTAGACCCCCGAAAATTCCTAATTGAGCCCTACACTTTGGCAGACCTTTAAGAAGATTCCTAATTCAGTCCGACACTTTGGCATACCTTTAAGAAGGCACAAACATCCCCCGGCCTCTGCTGCCTCTTCCTCGGGAAGCTCGAAAACCAGCTGGGTGGGGAAGCTGCTGATCTGCGAGAGCCTGGCAGCTGTGATTGCTGATGGTAACAGCAGTCGTCGTCGTCGTCCTGATCGTCGTCGTCAACGTTGTGGTGGTGGTGGTGGTGGTGGTGGTGGTGGTGAAGGTGGTGAGGGTGGTATTGGTGTTTTTGTTGCGGGTGGTGGTGGCGGTAGCAGTGGTTGACGCGTTCAAGGCAGCTAAAGACACACCCGACGACCTGCATCACCGGGCCTGAAAAGAAAGTCAACTTTAGGCCATTTTGCGAATCATGGGCCTCTCCCGCACGGCAGTTGCTTCGTCCTTCGCACCTGAGAAGCTACGGCTTGTCAGAAAGTCCGAATGATCGTCACCACTGCTGCTCGACATGCGTGAAACCTAACTATGAAAAGCCGAACATCGACAAACACGCCTTCGCCCTTGTCCTTTCCGTCGACAGCGTTTGCCTTGACTGCCCGCTTTGCCTGCGATGGCAACGGGAGCTCTACTTCGATGATTCACCCAACAGGTGCGAAGTCTATCAGTCCGGAACGTGCATAGCACAATACCATGTAACAGAACAAAAACGGAATAGGAAAGGATGGACTAGGATAGACTAGGATAGAGCAGAACAGAACAAATAGACCAGAAGATAATAAAATGGAATAGAATAGAATGGATTATCACACACTTAAACATAACCTAACCTAATCTAACCTATTCTAAGGGAAGCTAACCTGGTCCAATATAGCAACACTCAAGTACGTATGTGATATCTGTCCCTCTGCCTATCCGGCCATAAATATGTATCTGTCCGTCTATCTAACTATCCATCCATCCATCCAGCGAGCCATCCATCTATCTGCATGTGTCAGTCTGCTGTCAGTCCTTGCTGAACTTCAGCTTCTGATTGCAACTGTCCGGGCAGTCCTGCAGGACCGAACCTCGACGAAGAGTGACGCCTGGCGCTTGGAGGCGCAGTCAAGTAAGACCTGTGGCTTCCCTGATACATATGTATATACATATATACATACATACATACATACATACATACATACATGCATACATACATACATACACACATGTATATGAATATACATATAAGTACATATATATATATTGTATACAGATAGACATATGTATGTGTATATATATATATGTACATATATAAACACACATATTACATACATCCTGAAACTGCCAAATGAGTCGTTCTCAGCCCCACTCGCCTACATCGACTGTGACCCGGTCTGAGCACTGAAAGGCTTGCTCTGTCACAAGTCCTTGTTAGGGGGGCAGCGTGGTGTACATGTCACGACCGTGCTGATGCTTTATCTCCAGTATCATGGCTGCCACGACTGCTCAGATGCAACGGGTAACTTGTGCCGAATGCCATTCGGAGGTCTTGTCGTCACCTCACTTATTGTGCACTGCTCCTTCTGATTGGCCTGAAGCCTTCTACGGTTCTAAATATAAACCACTGAAAGGAACTACAATGGATCCTATGGGTACGAACATGCAAGGATTTCACGGCACCTCCCAGCGTCATGGGCTGAAGCAATGTCAGCGCCTTGTCCTCTCTGAGGGGGGTTTGTGGCTCAGGGCTTGGGTTTCGGACTTTAAACAAGGGCCCACCCAGCCTATTACACTATAGTTATAATAAGGAACCCCAAACCCTATTCTAATTATCAAGGCCCCTATATTAAAATATTAGGCTTGTCGGAATGTGCTCAGGACGTCGGAGTGCGAACCCTTCCGCATCGAAGCAGACAAACTCATGCGAAGCCAGTGAACTGGAGGGCTCCGCCGCAGTTCTTGTGACTCACAGTTTAGGGTTTAGGGTTTCGGCTGGGGAGAGCAATTTCAGAAAAAACTGACAAAAGGACATCCCCAAGGTCCTAAATTCTACGCACAAAATTTTTGCAAATCCAATAGGTCCTAATCCCTGAATCCGATCAGCTGAACCCTAAGCCTACCTAAATCCGATCAACCCTGGAGGTGTGCATGTGGCCTTGAGCTTGGTAAGGAGCAGAGCGGCATCACTGGCACTCGGTAAGGGTACGATAGCCACCTGGCTTTTGGGGCGGTGCCAGTAGTCGTCTATAAAATATAGGGCCATGGTCATATGTATATATGTATACACACGAGAGAGAGAGACAGGGAGAGACAGAGAGAGAGAATAGCTTTAGAGGGATCCGAAGAGGGATATCTTCTGACGATCACAGAAATGGTCATGATAACCATGATGTTCGTAATGGGTACAAGTCCCAAACTCCTGGGTCTGTCCCTTCGTGAACCAGCCAGACTGATGGAATTGCGAGATAGAGCTCAAGGCATTTATTTTTTTGGGGGGGTTTAGGGTTCAGGTTCAGGGTTTTAGTAGGGCTTTGGGGCTCAGGATTTTCGCCGGGTCTCAACAACGCTTGCAGGGTTTAGGGTTCAGGGAAGCTGGAGGCACTTGCCTGGAAATATTGCCGGTCGGCTCAATCTCGCCCGAGCACCAGACGCTCGGCTCTATGGGCCAACCACAGAGCAGCAAGGTGAACCCACCCTAAACCCTAAACCCTAAACCCCGCAATGTAGAGGCCTTAATACATGATTGGAACACGGTTTTTTCTCCTTTATAGATAATTACTTAGGGAACCCCAGGGAATAATATTGGTGATTATTCAGGCTCCTTTTGTAACATCCCGTTTTCAGGAAGTCTGAGTCCGAGGTGAGCGAGCTATCATGGGTCATTGCCCAAGAGTATAAGAGCCCCTTCATCTACAGAACCAGCTTTCTTTAAGCCCTAAACCCTACACCCTAAACTTAAAACCCTAAATCCTAAATCTAAAACCGTAAACCCTAAACCCTAAACCTAAAACCCTGAAACCCTAAACCCTAAACCCTTAACCCTAAACCCTAAACCTACAACCCTAAACCCTAAACCCTAAACCCTTAAAGGTCCCTGCAGAGTTCATAGCATCGGGCCTTCGGCACCTTGAAGGACAGAGTCAGGGGGAAATCCTCGAGCTTTCCGAGCTCTTCCAAGGCCTGTCACTTCTGGGGTCCTTGGGTTTAGTTTAGGGTTTAGGGTTTAGGGTTTAGGGTGTAGGGTTTAGGGTTTAGGGTTTAGGGTTTAGGGTTTAAGGATCAGGGTTGAGGGAGGCTGCGTCTGCCTGAGACTGGAGTATGGCCTACGGTATCCTACAGGGTTCTGCGCGCGGACAAGAAGTTATAGCAAGTGAAATCAGCAGGCTGTAGCCATGCGAAGACGTACCAGTACTGCGCAAATGCACCTGTCAATTTTGGCCGCGGTGCTTGCGACGATAACTCGAAATTCCTTCATGTAGGGCCTCAATGATTACCATTACTATTTAGGAGTTCCTTAGTATAAACATAAGTAGTAGGCTACTCTAACTATGTATGGCCCCTATATTAACTCGCCTGGGTGAAACAGCGGCTCCTTTCGAAAGCTCCAAAGATGTGGAGATCTCGGGAGCCTTGTGCAAGCTCTGGGCAAGGCCCTGAGGTCTCTGCTCAACTCGAAAGAGACAATAACAATAGAAACAATAATAATAATAATAATAATAAAACAATAACTAACTATAATAAGAATGAAAATACATATAATCATCATCAATATCATGTTATAATACTAGTTCAGCATCAAAGTCAAAACCTCATCATAATCATCAGAATGATGCTAAGTCTGCGGGCCTTAGGATGCCGTTCACTGTAGACATACAGTACTCTGCCGCTCAAGCACAGGAGGCAGCAGGCATCAGACTGATCTCAGTTTTCGAAGTCTCACAGCAATGCCTGGAAGCCTTGATCCCGAAATGCGGTGTGGGCAGGTGGCGTGCTGGGCATCGAAGCGACTGGGCTTGGGGGCGGGGATCTGAAACAGCGATTGTGTAGCCAGGACCCACAGGGATAGTGCACGTTCGTGGATCAGTCAGATGGACAGCCAGCCTCAACACGAGATTGAAAATCCAACATCCAAACAATTGAAACCCTGAACTCTCTCTACCCCACTCTTAACCCAATCGCGAACAGCGCGGTGCTGCGCAGCAGAGCTGCATGCCAGGGTTATCTTTCGAAGATCTTGTCAATACTCAGAACATGCCTTAGCTTTAAAGGTCCCGGGTTGCTTCCAGAAGCTAAACCAGCAGCAACAGTTGTATCAACTCCGAAATCAAGCATCCACCACTCAGAAGCAGATTCTCTAGGCGCGGGCGTCTTACTGCAAAACTCTGGCTGATTGCTGCTAACAAGATCACTGACTTTATGAGGTTGCAACGAGTGTCCTCATTTCGCTGTTGCTGTCACGTTCCTCTGTTGGTTTGACTGTCATGTGTTTTGTTCGCTGAGTTCCTATGCTGGTGGCTATCGTTTTCCAAGCGACTTAGTGTGCGCAGATGCCCACGAAAGTGCTCACAGGCTCAAAGGCCTTAAATCCTCTTCCTGTCTCCCTATACTACCTCATCGAGCACGTCTCTTGCATCAGAAACACCATGACTTATGTCACCATGCAACTACATTCGGGGTTAAAGGTGTTCAGCCTTTAAGGCTCATGCCCTAAACCCTAAACCCTATAAACCCTAAAACCCTAAAACCTAAGCCCTAATCCCTTACTGATCTTCTGGCCCCAGCACGCAGCTCCAGGATCGCTCATGTGCCACGGTGATTGAGGGATGATGCCTCCACCCAAAGCCCTGAAGGCCCGTTGCATTTCTAATTAGGGTTTAGGGTTTAGGGTTTCGGGTAGGGGGCCTTACCAAATTACCTACACTATTTTTGGGGGACTCCTTGTTATAACTATAGTATAAGAATGTACCCCAGAACCTATACTATTTTGGGGGACTCCTTATTATAACTATATACGTAGTATAAGAATGTACCGCAGAACCCTACTCTGATTGTTAAGGCCCCCTACATTATATGTGTGTTGGGTCTATACGGGCTGCTTTGCTGTCCATGTCTAGGTGCACTGGCTCTTTCGGGACACCTTCCGCCATGCATATCAGAAGGCCCTCTATGCGAATTCGTCAGGGATCTCGTATGTGCATGTAATAAATGGGCCAACCCCTGCAGAGTGCGTCACTTCGGGCAATTATTGTTGGCGTCCTTGGGGCTCAGGCGAATGAGGGCTTTGACTAAATGGGATAAACTCAGTCTCGCAAAACAGGGCTCTGTGAGTCAAAGACACAGGATACGAAACCTGCTTAAACCCTGATACCTCACCTGACCGATCACCGGGGCGCAGCGATTGGAAAAGCGCCTCACTCGCCTGGAGCACAGCCACGAAACCCAGGCAGGGACTCGGAACGCAAGCAGCTTAATCACGGAGAACTGGGTTGACTAGCGGCTAATAGGCGCTTTGTGCGCACTCCAGTCAACCGAACTGTTCGGGATTCCCATGACATCTGAAGCCTTGTCTTCTACGTCGAACCAGAACAAAGCTCTCAACTTCCTGCGTGGCCGTGCGGTCCTTCAACGGCATGCACGCTCGGAGCTTCATACTTGGCATCCTCAAGCCCAAGCCCACAACTTGCAACGTCAAGCAGCCCTTGAGAAGCCCTGCAAAAGACCCACTCCTTATCCTTACCCATAGGCCCCATAGTAGTTCCTTTTTGGGATTACCTAATGGGATCCTAAATATAAGCCACAGAAGGAACTACTATGGGGCCTATGGGTAAACACACACTCTAATCCCACATCGCTCCAGGACCACATCAGCTGAGGCCTGACAGGCGCGGCTTCAACGAGCAGTCTTTCCCAAGGGCGCCTGGGCGAAAGCCTCCGGCACCGGGAGAAGTCTCACTGACAGTTTTAGGGGTGGTAGTAAGCAAGCATGGTGATAATTTCAGCAATCACCGCGGAAAAAGGATGATGGCAATGGTACTACGACTGAATGTGAGAATGATCAATGATGATTGCAAATATGGCATCAATACCTGATCATGAAAACAACAATGCAATGATACGTCATAACAAAGGTTCTGACGGTGAGCGCGTCCGAATCGGACAATGGCCGACCACCGCTCGCTTTGCCACGACGTCTAGGGTTTTGGCTTAAGGAAGTCCACCTCTTTGACGACTTCATCATGGGAAGTTGCTAAATCTGCTTTACATGACCCTTCACACTGCAGCCCCAACCCCACTGACCCTAAACCCCTAAACCCTAAACCCTAAACCGAAGCATCTCAAGCCCGATTGAGAGGACATGACCCTGCTGCCTCGCGCTCCCCGCCGGCGGCTCAATGGGAACAGCTCGGAGCCGCAAACGGCCTCTTGCTGAGGGGAATAATGAAACATCCGGACAGGACGACGTAGTGATTCCGACAAGCAGAGGACATGTAGCTATCGCTTTAGTGCCCCATGGTGAAACAACAGCACCACCATATCCCGCACAGCTCGGTGGAAGGATGCTTCAGATGTCATGGATGCGCCTGCATAGCGCTACAGCTCGTGCAACTTCCTGGCACAGGGAAAAGGCTCTCTGCCAAGCCACGGCTACATCGAAGGCTTTCGGGAAACAGGGGAAACGAATAGTCTGATCCCTAACCCTAAACCCTAAACCCTAAACCCGAAACCGTTGTTAAGAGACTCCGAAATTGCGGCGTCTGCATGCTCTGTATACCCCTAGAGTCGCTACACACTTTGTCTAGGAGATCATGCCATATCCCCTGGTAGTCAGACTGTCACATGATATCCCCTTCCAGTCAGGGTCGCGACATAACTTTATTCTGATATGCCCCCCGCAAACCCTAAACCCTAAACCCTACAAAAAAAACCTATCAAACAAGCTGGGGCTGGGATCGGTATGGGATCCGCTCCCAAAGGCCTGCTGCCCACAGCAAGTTCATCCTGGCCCAACAGGCAGGATCAAGGAATTCCTGGTGTAGGGTGTAGGGCTTTGGGGTTCTGGGCTTTTAGTTATTTGGGGGTTTCCGAAAATAGGGGACCCTAATCTAGTACCCTAAATAGTAGATCCTTATTATAAGGACCCCAAAATAAGGTACCCCTAATTTTCGGAACCTCCCATGAAATAAAGCTCTCATGTATCAAGGCATCGCCCGTCCTGTTCTTTCTTGGTTTTCCTGGGAGGCTTGCAGCAAAATCATCTCGGCAGTTGGACTGAAAACAGTGCAGTCAGAAAGCCCACTATCCCCGACAAATAATAATGGCAGTATAATACTAACATGAGAATATTACTTGCGTCAGGATCTACTGCGGAATCCTGCTCGGAGTCGAAAGCCCCACAGCATTCTTCAGTGTAGGCTCGGAGGGGCAGAGCGCTCAAAACGTGCAGCTGGGCGTCTTTTTTGATTTTTTCTTCTTCTTGCTGCCGTCTTTATCCTTTCCTCGGTGCAAAGAAAGATGCCGACGAGCGTCCAAGGCCGGACCAGAAGACGTGAGACAAGAGCGGACAGGAGAAAGGTAGGAAGGAGATCATGGGGTCAACGGCAACGCTGCAAAGAGGGCAGCGGATGGCTTGCTGTGTCTACATCTTCTGCAAGTATGATATGCTAGAGTAATGCCAAGGGACTCTGCCGTCGCACTTCTGCATACAACATCTGCAGCTCTGGGTCCTCGAGAGCTCAATGGATGGAACAAAAGCTCATCGCTTGTAGCCTAGGTAAGACTTCAGAAATGCAATAGCAGAAGAACGGCTATAGACTTGAATGTTCAACTCCTCTTTCGATCCTGTCCTCCTCCAGCTCTTGGCGAATGTCCGCGAACTCTGCGAGCAGGCGGTCCTGCCGTGAGCTGCAGACCGCGTGAGGAGGTGTCGCATGAGCCCGAAAGCGTGTTGCAACTTGTGGTCACGTTTGTCCATGCGGCGTCTGCTTGTATGTACATGTGTCCACCCCCTGGAATCCTTGATGGAGCCTCTTTCTACATTCAGCTAGTTGCTGCTATCCTGCACCTACAGAAGGTCCGGCGAATCTCCGAAGCCTAGCCATACCATGACGGTCCATTCGGCTGCGTTGCTGGTGGATGACGGTGCGCTGGTTCTCAAAGGCCACCGACAGCAAAGCCAAGAGGTCCTCCGCTTCGAAGCCACATTTCACCCAGGCTAAGCTGGCTCATGCTTGCGACAGCCGCTACTTAGCCGACTTAGCCCTTCGGCTCATGCTTTGTGGTGTCTCCGTGGCAGAGGACATGAGGAGCAGTGAAAGTGAGCCCAGGAAGTTGCAGGCCAGGAGTTGGAGTGGCGTCGTATTGAAAGTATCGGATTGACAGCAGTTCTTCGAGGAACTTGCTCTCACGTCGTTGTTCCCAAGAGGTCGTTCAATCGTCTTCTACATGAAAGCCCTGAGTTACCCTTTGACAGCAGATGTCTGGAATCTAGAGGAGAACTCCGATTCGCAACAACCTCGACTTGAGTCATGGCCTGGCTGCTTGCGAGGGACCTGGTGTGATCAGGCAGGGTCTATGGACCCTAGAATCCCAGGTTTTGCAAAACAAGCCGCAACAAATCTAAGCAGGAGAACTGGACGTCTTGTTCAGCAAGTTGCAATAACCCTTAGGCAGCCGAGTGAAGATTAAGGAAGCAGCGTCGGACTACTGCTGCTTCGGAGACATCCTCGACCATTTTCAGACTTCTTGCCGAACCGGGAAACATTGACTTTAGGACTTTAGGGCCCTAAGCCCTCAGGGTTTAGGATGCCACTGCCACATGCAAGTCCTTGTAAACCACGGACTCACTGCCACCCATGAACGCCGCCCTTGGGTCGAGGGCCGACTGGGAGAGCCTCGAACTGAGAAACTCGCAGAGGGGTTCGGAGAGTAGGGATTTAGGGTTTTTTTTTTTGGATTTAGGGGTTTAGGATTCAGGGTTTCGGATTTAGGGGTTTAGGATTCAGGGTTTCCGATTTAAGTTTTTTTGTTAGACTTGTGTCCCGCCCTTGGGGATCATGCGTCACGAATTTTGTGGTTTCAGGTTTGAGCTGAAAAATCTGTCATCCCAGCCCGCGACGCTAGCTACGAAGCCTTCATCCCGCCATCTCTTCCCCCCTCCGCTTTCGTCATCGGGGAGATCTGTCAAGAATTCGACGCTCCGAGCCCCTCAATCAACCTAAACCCTAAACCCTAAACCCTAAACAGGGAAATTGCTACCCGAGCCTCCATGGGCCCGCCCACACACACCAGCAAGACTCAGGGAAAAAAGGGGGAAAGCATCCTGAAAAGACATGGGAGCTAGGATTAGGGGGACCCTTGAGGATATAGACCCTCTCAATAAGGTCCCTTTTAAGAGGGCCAAAAGTAAGGTTCAGAAGGGGTACCCTTCAAGGGGTACCCCTAATAATACTACCGAAGACAACATCATACACTTTGCAAGCCTCATGCCCCAAGCTTAGCCCCTCATCTTCAAGCAGACGAAACCCTCAGTAACCTCGCCCGCCACCCCATCCCCGAAACCCTGAACCTTTAACCCTAAGACAATAAACCCTAAATCCTTAATCCTAAACCCTAAAGCATACACCCTGAACCCTGAGCCCTAAACCCTGAAAACCCTAAACCCTGAACCCTGAAACCCCTAAACCCTAAACCCTGAAACCCCTAAACCCAGAAAACCCTAAACCCTGAACCCCAAACCCTAACTGAAGTGGGCCTGGTGCGCTGCACCACGCTCGGGCCCGGTGAGCTGGGTCGTGTCGAGGGCCACAGCGAGAGGGGGAGGCTCTCTCCTGGCTCAGGGCTTCGATTTCAAGTCTTAGGGTTTAGGGTTTAGGGTGTAGGGTTTAGGGCTTAGGGTTTAGGGTTTAGGATTTAGGCTCTTTTGTTATTGCTCTGTGGAGGCTTTTGGTGCTTGGTTTTGGTGGTTTACGGCTTCTTTGTGGTTGAGGGTTTTAGGGCTTGTAAAGTATAAGGTTTTATAGGGGCTCATTCAGAGCTTGGGACATAAATAAAGATGAGGTGGCTATGTCCGCCTCTGGCTACCACGGTCCAAGTCCACTAAGATGCAGGCTGGCATGCTCTTGCAGGTCCACCGTGAGTACCCATAGGCCCCATAGTAGTTCCTTTTGGGGGTTCATATTTAGAATCCTATAAGGTAATCCCAAAAAGGAACTACTATAGCCCGTCTAGTCTTGTTGGGAAGTTGGTATTGAATTGAGCCCGACTCGAATGTGTTTGATGCAGCCTGTGGTTATCGCCTTGGTGTTGATGGCGGTGGTGCTGATTGTGCTGGTGACGCTGATGGTGACTGGTAGTTGTACTTGCTTGATTTCGGCCATGTCCACGCTTAAGCAGGTATGCAAACAAAAGTTATAGAGCACCGGTATATCGACGCTAAGTACAGTACCCGAACGACGCGAGCATGCAAACATGTTGCAGGATGCTGTAAAGGACTCGGAGCAATGCTGAATGGTCCTTTGGGCAGCAGTCCAACAGTCGAAAGACAGGAGCAGTGCAGTATCGTCCGAGTCTGGGTTCGATCTCAGGGATGTCCACGAACAGCGAAGCCTCTTTTTCAAAATACGGACGTAAATGGAAACCGGCCGAAACAACAAAATGAAGCGAAGCAACATCATTCATATATATATATATATATATGTATATATGTATATATGTATATTGTTTTTCATATACATACATATTCTACATAGGGTATATTCACACTCAACATTCAGGCCTCATTCAGGCCAGACGAACAAGCGGAAACATGAACACTTCGGCCATTGTGCGTTACACTCAAAAGGGGTCGGCCTGAGAACCGGTGTCGGCCGACCATCCCCTGGCATGGAGGCAGAACGAAGGCGTGCGAAGGGGTTGGCTCGGGGGTGGGGGGGGTGTTGTCTGCTATTGTGGGGAACTCCTTTCCGTCGGCAGTTTCAAACAACCACCTTCGGCTTAAAACTATTCTGTTCTTGGCCAGGAATGGCCAGGAATGACACCTAGACCTAGACTGGTTGATACTTCGATTCTGTATACCGTACCTGGTGAACGTTCTCTGGACTCCTGTCAGATAGGCCTGCATATTGCAACAGCCTACGACCAAATAGGCATTTCACAGTATGGACCTACATGCTTCGTAAGATGGCCTCATTTCAGTGAGGGCACCTGAAGTGGCAGCCCAAAAAGACCTAGAGAAGATTCGCGATGCCCGCAGAAATTCAAAAAGAGATCTGAAGCAAACTCGCCAAACGCAAAAACAGAACAGTAAAAGCGCCACCAGCGCACACAAAGCCATCTCCATAAACGATACACCCTAAGCTCTGTTTCCCCGAAGTCAGCACCCGGGAATTCACCTCACAGGCCGCTCTTCCCGACTCGAGGAGGACGAAGTGCCCCAGCAAGAGGAGCGACTTCCTCGGTTTGGGGGGTACTATAAGGGTTCTCTCACGGTTCAAGAGCTTGGGGTTTACGGTTTTACGGCTTGGAGCTTTCGGCGCTTAGGGCTTGGAGTTTGGAGTGGTGGGTTCGGGTTTTGTTGGGGATATTGGGCTCAGGGCGAAAAGCTCGGCGGGTGCTTTGGTAGCCTAGATGGAGTGGAGTACCAAATCTCAGGACAAGGAAGCTCAATAGAATCTCGGCATGACTCATTGCATCATGTAAGGCAACATGTAACCTTGATTGATGTTGCCTGCCTGCTTGCGCTTATGACGACTTTGCCTACTTGATCGTGCATTTGTTCGGGCTTCCATGAGTATTAAAACGCTATTGAACTCAGGTCCGGCCCAAGCCGCCATTGGGGTACCATTCGTCATCGGCTGCCATGCGACCTGGGATGCAGTGCCTATCTGGTTCTTACCAACTAAGCCTACGCCCAGCCTTAACGTCGCATTCAGCTGGCGAGCATCAGTACCCAGAGACATCAAGTCCGTGAAGCAAGATAGCTTTAAGGGTCTTGGTGGCTAGAACCAGCTGCCACAGATCTACATTCGGCTAGCGACTGCCGGAAACAATTTTTGAACTTGGGCTCGTCAAGCTCGAACCTACCACATACGCACAAAATTACGCTACACATCTACATATCTGCATGCCAATACACATACATTTACATACCTGCCTGACTGCATGCCTACCTCCATCCATCCATGCATGCGTGCCTCGCACTAAATTACATTAACTCATATTACCTTACCTCACATTATGCTATGTTGCATTTCATTTCATTACATGACAGCCCAGCGCACTCCACACTAATTTATCATCTGATCTTACCTGGCATTAGTTTGCACTGCAATACATGATACTGCACTGCTCTGCTTCTTATGCACATGTACACATATACATAAATACATGCATACCTACATATGCATACATGCAAACATGCATGCATTGCATGCATGCATAACACACATGCACACATGCATACATACACGCATACATACATACATACATACATACATACATACATACATACATACCTGCGTAGACACATTAATCTGCACACGTGTACATGCATGCAAACATAGTCGTGCATATGTGTGTATGCATAAGTCAGCACATACATACAAACATACATACATACATACATGCATGCATGCATACATACATACATACACTCATACATGCATGCATGCATGTATACATACATACATACATACATACATACATACATACATACACATACATACACATTCATATTTTTATGTATATATATATATAGGTACACACGCCCACACCTTAACGTACATACACATGCATATACTTACTTACATACACCTGCCCGGATACATACATCGATACATACATATATACATACATA